AATATTATATTTTTTGATTTAATTTATTTTTAGCATGGGCTATTTACCACAATCCACAAATATTACGAACCTGATGAATGGTTAGAATTTGCTAATAACAATAAAGATATTATACCGCATATAGCTGTTACTTGCGGTATAAATGATCACGAATTTGAAAAACTCAAAAGAATATTGGAAGCCGTACCAGATATATCTTTTATCTGCCTTGATGTAGCTAACGGTTACACTCAACAATTTGTGGATATTGTTCGGAAAACGCGTACAGCATATCCACAACATACAATAATTGTAAGTATTAACTATTTTTTGTCTTATGTCTGTATCCCATTCTTGGAACTTAAATTATAGTGGATTATGTATCCAACTATTTATATCACTTTGGATAAGCTTAGTTTACATTGCCACATTGCAGATAAAATTGCATTTTTATTGCTATACTAGTATATTAAATTATTTTAAAGATATTTAATGTATAATGTAATTTATAAAAAATTGTTTAAGGCCGGCAACGTGGTTACTGGTGAAATGGTTGAAGAATTAATTTTGTCTGGTGCTGATATTATTAAAGTTGGTATTGGCCCTGGATCAGTATGTACCACACGTATAAAGACTGGTGTAGGATATCCTCAATTAAGTACAGTTATTGAATGTGCTGATGCTGCTCATGGTTTGCAAGGACACATTATTTCTGTAAGTATTTATTTACAATTACCATAATTATTATCAATATATATTTTATAGTCAATATGCAATATTGCAATATATTTTTTTATTTAATTTTAAATTTAAATTTAAAATGCTTAAATATTATAGGATGGTGGATGTGTTTGTCCTGGAGATGTTGCAAAAGCATTTGGTGCCGGAGCAGATTTTGTTATGCTTGGTGGTATGTTAGCAGGACATGATCAGAATGGAGGCGAGTTAACCTTAAAATCAGATGGTACTAAGTGTAAATTATTTTATGGTATGAGTTCGTTAACAGCTATGAAGAAACATGCTGGTGGTAAGGCAGAGTACAGGTATGCTATTGTTATTATTATTATTATTATTATTATGTCTTATGGACATAATTATTAGTTTAATTATATTGATAATTTTAGAGCTGCAGAAGGTAAAGCTGTTGAAGTACCATACAGAGGTGATGTAAATGAAACTATTCTTGATATACTTGGTGGACTTCGTTCAGCATGTACCTACACCGGAGCACATACACTAAAAGAGTTGCCTAAGCGTGCCACATTTATTCGATGTACTCAACAAGTAAACTCTGTGTACTCCAATATAACTACTCGAGAATAAATACCCATGTTCTATAGTATTATAATATAATGTTTATTGTACATGGTAAAAAAGGTATTTATTTACCTGATATATGATATAATATTCAATTATTGATTCTATAGTATAATTTATTCCAAGGTCATATTTTGCATTACCTGAGCATCTGTAGAATTTAAGACTTTATTTTTTAAAGGATGTTTAATAGTTTTTATTTTTTTTATTTTTAAGAGTCCTTTCAATTTTGTGATAAAAATAATTTCTCATTGTTATTAATATTAAATTAATTATTCATAATTAATCATTAGTTAGTGTTTTTAAAATTAATTTAAAAATACAATTTAGGTTAGATCTGGTTTTTAACGTTTTGATTTTTTTTTTTTAATAATGAAAATTGTATTCTTAATATTTTGAACATGAAATTTCATGTTGGATTTATTATAATTTTTTATTTTCTTTATGCAAAAAGTAACTCAAATTCTATGCAATATAATTATAGAACTGTGATGTGATTTTTTTCCTATGTTTAGAAATATCTTTAGTTGTATCATTTCTAAGTATAACTTATATATCTTAAAATGTTATTAGTTATGTTGATTTTTATAGATTTCTAATCCTATTTATGATCTGATTACAATCAAATAATTTAATGTTAACAATTATTGGAAAAAAAATTTAATTTGTTTTGAGTGTTTGTAAAATTATTTTAAAACTATTTTATTTTACTTGTTTTTTTTTTTAATCAACTAATAAATTAACATTTGATTAAAATGTTATTGAATAGTTGTTTGATATTATGTTAGTATATTAAAAAAAAATAAAAATATGCTAGTAATATTGAATGTAGCAAATGCAGGTATTACAAACATTAGGATTCTTACAATTTTAAACGTTAATATTCTCTATACAATTAGTACATGATTATAATACCATGTGTAAATTAAATTTATAACAATAAAACCGCAAGATGATTTAATGTTAAAAATTCTGTTCTCATTAATGTGAAGAATGGTTGTTATGGTTTATTTTGTTAATAATATGATTCTTGACAATAAGCCTGATCACTAATCAGTTAATAGTTATCAATGTATAATAGGATATACTGCGTTAGATATCGTAGAACTTTATTTAGTAAGTTATTGAACATAATAAAATTGTATATTACAACTGAAAATATATTTTAAAAGTTATTACATTGATAGAGAAATTATTAAATAAGTACGAAATAATGGATTAAAATCGTCTCAATAGTTTATTATAAATAATCATTAAATAGAAATTACAAAATTGTCAGCCACCTTAGTGTAATAAAATATTTTACCAAATTTGCATTATATATTTGGTAAATTAAAATCAAAACACTGGTAAACTTAATTGATCGTGTATATAATTTTGTTTTCTAAAGTAATAATACAACTTATTATTTAATTATTATAATATATTTGTATCAACACATCTTATTTCTAAATAAATAATTATGGAAAGGTCAGAAGCAACAACAATAAATACGATTTGTGCAGATTATTGGTACCTATTTAATAAATAAGACAATTAGATAAAAAAAATAATTTTTAAATAAACTACAACTCACTATTATTAAATTGCTGCATTGTAATTATTAATTAGATTAATACTTTGAGTTAATTTTTATATACGAGTACAACCAGTTGTCAGATATTATGTTAACAAGTTAGAACGTGCAAATAGGGACTATTATAATATATCATCGCAACATTTGAAAATCGTTTGAAAAATGACATTACTGACAAATTTTAATGTGGAAATTGGAATTATGGAAGAATAAAATATTTTTTGTTTAATGGGTTACAGGTAGATGTCTTTTAATTTTAAAGTAAAATGCTTCTGACCTCTGACTTAGACATATGACTTTTTTACAATTGTAAATATTTACTCTAAAACTAATCCATAAGTAAATTTATTTAAAATTTTGTTACTCATATATTTTACGAAAAAGTTTAAAATTATACAATCTTAATACAACCACAGTAACATTAAGCTATGGCATTTTGCATATTTTGCTAAGTAAATGCGTACAATATAGATAATACAACAAAAATATTATCACCCTTATTCAAAATTTGAATAATTAATAAAAATTTTACAATCTACGCACAATTATTATTATTTTTAACATCGATTGACGTACAATTTAACATTATTGTTAATATTATAAAACATTTAAACCAAACGTGATTATTATTGATATAATTATCATAAATTATTAACACATTCATAATTGTAATTATCATAATAATATACAAGGAAAAAATATACAAGCTATTTGCAATTTATATGCGTCTAAATCTACTTGATACCCGATACTCCGAACTGTATGAACGACCATGTCGTGTTCATCAATATAAAATTCACTAAATAAACAAAACAGTAACAAACCGATAGATCGTCAAATAGCTTAAGTTCTAAAAATATGTTTTAGATGGATATAAAGTGTGAAGTAAACAAACTTAAAATATGTGGTATAAATAAAAAAAAACGTTGTAGATATACATAACGTTTGGATGGATATGTGTAAGTATATATATATATATATATATATATATATATATATATATATTATGATTATGATATGATTGAAAAAAATTACAGAAGAATCAGTTTTGGAAGATTTGAGATAGGTGGGTACATATTATACAAGTAAGTATAATATCCGTCGTATTGTTTTTCGTGTGCATGTATGCGCGAGAATAAAAAAAAACAATACGAATAGTACGAAAAAAAACAAATTGATTAAGCTAATACACCGATATTATATACCTAGGTATTAGATACCTACCTTTATGTTATTTTATATACCTATATATTAATCTTATGCTATTTAAAGATAATTCTCTAAACGTATGTACGTACGTGAAACAACACGAAAAATATACCCTTTAAATATAATATTATAGTTCCTACGCATATTAGTGGGTAATACGCACACAATTAAACTAAAGTCTAAAAGTCTTATTCGTCGGCCAGCCTATAACAGGCTCTGTGAAATGTATTCTGCCGAGAGTAAGTTATAAACTCGACCGATTTTGCCATTGAATAAGACAGCAAGTGTTTAAAATATATTAGGAGTGACTACTGGCTATGGTCATTTATCGATATTTTAGTGTTAGTACCTACAACACTGTGCATTATACAAGGATATTATATGGTGCTTTTGCCTTTTAGTCCTTAAAAAGTGTTTACCATTAACGTCTGTGTTAAGGTACACGAGTCAAAGGACAGCGAATAATACGGAAAAATCACGTAAGCTTAAGTACATGTCAGGGTTAGAATTTCGAGTTGGTTTCCTTACGAATTGTGGTTACCTGCATAATATTAATGCCATCATAACTATACGGTACATTTAAACTGAATATTATTTGTTTGAAATGGTTTTCGCCAATTTTCGGCCTTATCGAGTATTCCTTCAAAATTCATCATCCATAATTCAAATATTTTTGGAATAAACACATCAGTATAAAAATGTTTACAGAATTTGAAATAAAAAACATATTTTATTAAGTTTATAGATAGGTACTATACCAAAATTTTCAGCTCCTATTACCAGTAAAGATATGCTTGTTCATATTTATATTGTTGATAGCTTTCGGTAAATTTAAATAAATTATTTGTGAAAAGCAAAATGTAAAACAATTTTTCAAGACTGTTTTTTAATTATATTTTGAATTTTAGATTTAAAGGCAAACATTTTACCAAACCACTTCGAACATTATTAAATTATTTTTATTTTAAAATATAAATATATATATTTTTACACGTGCTGACACTTTTTTTCATAATGTTAAGTGATGTAAAAGACCAAAGAAAACGACGTTGAGAAATATAAAAATGAAATGACCGTACTCAAGTGAACGCGAATTCGTGAAAAACATTCGGTAAGTTTGAATAGTTATATATTACAGTTACAAAAAACTATATTAATATGCAAATTCAATTATACACAATACGTATAATAAAACTTTATTTGCGTACAACTAGACTAACTAACAATATTACGTGGTCCCTGATTCTGCTGGCAATACAAAATACGCGTTCGAACAACATTTTATAAAATATAAAATGAATGTATTTACGAACGCGATCGCAATAATAATGACAGTAATGGTCCCTTAAAACCATCATCATTATCGTCAGAATAATGACTGAAAAAACAACAAATTAAAAAACGCGAAACGTTTAAAAACGAAATAATAATTCAAAATCCATTTAAAATTAGATGATTATAATAGTATTAAATTAATATTAATATTATGTATCCAAGAAAACTACTACCTATCCAAACGCCGAAATGTTATCGATAATTTATTAATAAACTTCAGGCATTTAATCGTAGTAGTTGTACTTGGATTAACGTTATTCCTACGACTTATACCTATATTTTGACTAATCTTATAATTATTTAGTATCGAATTTTAATCAGAACCTTTTTCAAAGTTTTTTTTCTCAAAAATAAAATGCCTATAAAAAGACAAAAACGAGGCTTACATCTGAACAATATCATCTAACTACCTATATTTACAAAAATTTATGTTTTTGCCGTTCTTGTAAATGTATCAATTTTATTGTATCTGTATGAATACCTTAGTGTTGAGTTTACTTTTCAGTAGTGGTACCCGGAAAGTAACCGATTAAAATAATACATAACTTAAGTTTTAAGTGCTGAACTTAAATGTCATATTTTTTGATCAAATGTAATTATTATAAATGTAAATCCAAAAACTAGGAATGATGGTGGGTAAGAATTCTTTTTTGCATTGGTTCAGCCAGCCTGCATATTATGCTAATGATAAAAATGACAAAAAATAATAGCAATAAAAATAATAAAAAATAACATATGAAACGTTGATATAGGGTTTTGATCCTTTTTTTGCGGTTGTATTTAATATTTCTTAACGGGGATTTTTTTCTCTGCGAAACAGAGTAGTATGAAAAATACAAAATGCATCTAAATAATAAAAAAATTATCAATTTTATCTTCTTTTCCGAATTCGTTATTAGAGCACATGTAGGTTTTCACACGACTTGGACTTGGAATCTCTGGCCCATACCTTGCTTAACAGTCCCTTCACTCGGAGACTGGTAGACGTTCGGGACCCCCTGTATTTTTTGAACGTTGGTCCGCAGTTTCCTAAAGGTGACTTGGAGCGTTTGCGCATCGATGAAGACCGAGTCACGCCATGTTCCGGTGGCTGGTCCAACTTCAATCGAATCTGTGTCAGTATGCCTACTAGTAATTCGTCCACGTTGTAGTTGATAATCACCGACGTCTCGATAAATTTACAGTCATATCGAGTAGCCATTTGTTTGCCAACTAAAAAACAACCATTGGACATAGACATTTGAATTAGTAATTGTATCATTGGAAAGAAGGTATTTTTATGGTGAAGTAAACAACGTATCATCCGGCGTCGGTCTTTGTTGTATATTGTAAATTTGTAAATATATATATAGGCGATTGACATGTCTATTTTTGACTATATACACGCCGGGGAAAATATACAGATTTGGAAAGACATCAATTAGTTTGTCACTATTTTGTGTATTCTCAGTCCATTTTCATTTTCCTGAATCAGTTATTACACCATGTTTGACCAACCACGATGCGATAAGTAATTTGTAATATTAAATGGAAATTGCACGGACCCTGACTGATAACTTGTCGGTCACACTAAAGTATATTATATCGTGTACTGAACATGATTAGTTTGTATACCTAAACTAAAATTGTATTTTAAATTATATTACAACAGAATTATTTGATAAACTAAAAATAAAAAGTTGTATAATATGGTAAATATTTTAGTACCTATTATCAAATAATTCAGAGACATTTGTTTATATATTTTTTGGTATAATAAACTTGTTTTATTTTGTGATAGATATTCAATTCCATCTTATCTATCTTTTGCTGGCCTCAATATTTTGTTACAAAATGTGTGTTGTTATTGGATCGTTTTGTAGTTAGTCGTATAATTATGCAATACCCAAATATTATGCTACTGGACTAATTGACAGTTGGAAACCGTGTGATTTATGTTGAAATTCAATACATACTCTGACACAGTGAATATTATCTGAGCCGAAAATTGCTAGTCAAACAAGGCGCTGATTACCGTGAAAAGAAATGAAAACGGATTTGTAACATGCAAATACATATATAATATATTATACACAGAGGTGAATAGCCGATAGAACAAAAATATAAAATTATTATAATATATAATTAATGTTTATTGATAAATAAGGCTCGGAAGTAGTAGGAATAAATTGCATATTGTTCTGTATGCTCTCGATTTAAAGCAGACCAAGTTAGAAATCTGAACTGTACAATGGAGAGTTAAAAAATTGAAAATTGAAAATACATATTTTGCATATTTTGTCAATTTTAGCTAAAAAATGTGCATATTTTATTAATTTTATACGCATATCATGCATATTTCATATTTTTCTAAAAAAATTGATTTTTTTCTTTCCTAAAACTTGTATATTTCAATTAATTTTGAATATAAAACTCAAAATTTTCAACGAAGGTATTTATTGTAATTTCAAAAATATTAAATAAATATTTTTAATTATATTTTTAGCTCAATAAGATGTCAAAATGCTAACCAGTTACAATTTTTTTTCAGTTACAAACAGTTTTTATGTTTATTATTATTTTATTAATTTATTAACAATATTTATTGTATTTTTTTTTTGGTTTTAGAATTCAGAATAATTTTTTTGCACATTTAGCATCATTTTAATGCATATTTTGTATTTTTTTTTGTTCATATTTTGCCTTTTTTAGCTCCAACAACTTTTGAGCCTTATTGATAAAGTAGGTACCTAACATTAATGTAAAATACTACTGTACCTCCTGACGGCACGACGTTTGGTCTCACAATATCATTTTTGTTACCAACTAATATCACAGCTTTATTTCTGACTACATCTGCTTTCCATAAAGCTTGTAACCATTCTTCGGCTTGTTTGAAGCTGTCCCAATCATTTCTCGAGTAGATAATACAAAAGGCATGCGGGGACTCCTCGAAGACGTCATTACAATCGGCCGGCTAAAAACATATTTTATAGTTTTACGTTATTTTTTACACAACAAAAGACTTATCTATTTCTAAACAAGGTTTAGTTTATTGCCGATATATATGATTGAAACGCAATGACGACAGCCCCAAGGAAATGTTTCAAATTTAGTTGTTTGAAATTTGTTAATAAAATTAATTGGTATTATTTTAATTTTAAAATACTATGACTTATTTATATTTTGATTATTTTTATAATACACGACACTCCTTAAGTTGTACAAAAGAGCTTAACAATTTGAAAATTTAAAAATAAGAATTTAAATAAATATTACTAAAGAAAAATGGAGGTGATCATGCTTGGTGAAATAGTCTTTATCTCAATATCTTTCAACAAATGGTGTAATTATAATAATATTATTACACATTATAACAATGTTATTTAAACAATTTTAGGCAAATATATATATTTAGAATATTTTTTGATATTTTTTAATAATTTATTTTATGATAAAAACCATTACAATACTTTTATATATATTTTTATTTTGAACATTTGATTGGAAATATTTTTTTGACAACGAGTGATTTTCAATAATAAAATAAAATTAAAGTATTAATTCAATTGCATATAGCGTAATTGTTTTTTTAGAACTATGTTAAAATGATTTTTTAACATCACTTTTTTATTTAAGTTCAAAAACTTTCTAAATTCAGCTTATTTAAATAACTGTTTTAAAATATAGTTCTTTATTAAAATAATGTTTAAAATATTTCTCGGTAAATTATAGGTTTGAAAAATCCGCTGTTAAACCAATAATAGTTTATTTCTTAGATATCATATTTTTATTATTAAGTAAATAGGATTGTAAAAGTATAAGGAATTCAAACAATTTCAATTTTTTTATGTTTAATATACTTTTAATTTAAAAATTGTAAATACACAAATAATAGACGAAAAAATGAATTACGTCAACATTTATGAGTTTTACGTAATTAACTTAAAATAAATTCAAATGTTTTTTGATACATAATTTATCTGAATGTTGGGATAATAAAAAGATATAGAAATATTTGGATTTTATTTGGGTAAGGTGATGTATGTTTGGGGCACTTATGACAATATTACGCAGGATTGATAAACACTAATTAAAATTATTTATGTTATTTTATCAATATAATTTTAGTGTTTTAGTTTCTCGGTGATGTAACAAGGGCTTTTGTGTAAACTGTATTACGTGTAATATCAATCACGCGATGTGGCTGTCTTTGACGTTACTACATATTTTTATTGAAACAGGAGGGTACTCAGCTATTGATTTTTGAAATTGTAGCGACCTTTCTTGTGAAGTGGTTTTTAGTGCTTTTATTTTCATTTGTAAATAATACGTTTTAGTTAATTACGACGAATTCCATTTGATAAATTCTCAGGCTAATAGTGTTTATTTTATATGTAACACTCATCAATGATCACTAGTTACTTTAAATTAAGTTTCTTCATTAGTGAAATCAAATGGTAAAATAAATTGCTGCAGATAATTAATTAAATACATTCATGTATATATAAAGCAATTCAATATAAAAAAATTATTTTTATTAGTTATTAATTTATTTTTAATTGTGCAGTAATATGAATATAATTAATATGTTATAACTTATAACTTATGACAATTCAGTGAAATTTATTATATATAGTTCTAAATTCTTATCATAAAATGTATATTACTTATTTTGTACGCTTTAAATAAAATAAAGATAATTTTCAATAAAATAGGTTATCGGTATGGTATTTTATTTTTATTTTTTTTTATTACACTACAGGTAGTGTAAACCTAATAAATATATTATGTTTACAGTACAAAAATATATATTTATAAGCCTAAACAAATATTATAATGTATATGTTTTTTCGTTATTTTAAATGCCATTATACCTTACTTAACTATGTGACAAGAATAATATATTCTGTACAATATGATGTTATTAGTGTACCATACCACTATTAACCATACACACTTTAATTTCGGAGAGTTCCTCGAGTGGCTTAAGGTGCACGACTATTAAAATAATATAATGTAAAGTAGGATGTCTTTAGTGTTCTAAATAGAAGAGATAAAAGCCTGTAGGTAACATAATTCATACAACTTTTCCCGTAAATTGATCTATATAATCGGCAAGGCTTAAGTTGTTTAAAGAGTATTTAAGTATATAGTTTTATTGTAAGCGAAATGATGAACTAATTGGTTTTAAAATAATGCGTGTTTGTGTAATTTTTTAGATTCATTTTAGAAATATGAATATATTAGTTTTTATGTTTTTTTTATCATCTTTTAGATCATTAAAAATTATTCGATTTTTTTTTTTTTGAAAGTGGTTTGTGTAGCAAATTGGATACCTATAGTTGGTTAGTTTATGTGAAATTCTTCAATGTTTAATTTTAATTATTACAATTTAGTGTATTATTGGTAGACAATGATTTTTTTTCTTGATTTTAGGGAAATATTACAAATTGTATGCAATTTAAATGAAACATCTTGGTATAAAGTTAACTAAATGGAAATTGTATTTACATAAAGTCGAATTATTTTGTTCACGAATTTCAAGATTAAAAGATACAAGCGGTTGAGTTAGACAGGAAAAATGTTTTTAAGTGCCAAAATCATTGTCGGTACTGTTATTTTTAAATACAAAATATCTGTTTTTTCAAAACATACGTATTTACTACTACACCATAATATAATATCTTATAAATGTAAATGTACAAAATATTTTCAGATGAGAATTACAACTTATATTTTTAATTGTTTTCATTTACGATTACGATTTAAAGAGTAATTAAATAAGAAGATTGAATGTTTTATTAAAATCATTGCACGATAGACAAACGAGAGAATAAATATTCAACTATAATAGATTAATAAATTTTATATTCTATTAAGCTATGTGCTAACAGGGCAAGAGTTTAGTGTCTTGAGTAAATTTAAAATTAATATTAAATTAGATGAAACATTGGAATTCCTATAAATATTTTAAAAGTTCTATTTTTTATCATAATATAATTGATAGGTATAAAATTAAGAAATTATGTATTTTAGTTTTTTTGTTCTGATAAAATATTGTGACATACATACTTAAATATTAAAATATTATATGATGTATTATTTATTATTTATTACTCACCGCATTAGATTTATCTAAAAATATTAACTCGGATTCTTCTGCATCTAATAATACAGAAACAGATTTTTCTCCATCTTCGTCTAAAACAGAAAAAAAATATTATTTAAAATATTTTACTATTAACAGTCTAATGATTAGGTAAAAAATGTAATTTAAAGGGAATTCATGTTTGTATACATACTTTATATTATTAATTTTACTAAACTTTTTTAATAAAGTATTGACTTATAAGTATACAATATATTGTATAATTATTTCTGTTAATATATTGTAAAAATTAATAGTAGTAAAAAGTACCTATATTAAAAATACAAAACTGGAACTTAAGATTTTACGTAATTAATAAATTAAATTAAATTTGAATAACATTATTATTGCGCAATAATGGTTATGAGAATTACAACGGATACCTACCAGGAATTATATCTTTTAGTAAATTACTTTAAAATGTATTAAAACATCCTATATTAGGCACTAAAATCATAAATTCTAAAAATTCCAACAAAATATATTATATTTTACGTATTTCGTAAAAATTGTTTCTGTTACGTCCTCTTAATAGTAATAAATGTTAATAAGTTAACTAAACTCCGTTGGATAAAAGTTACGTGAAACTTTTTTTTTAATTTAGTTGCAATTAATAATAAATATAAACTTGTTGAGTCATATTTTCATCTGTATAGGTGTTAGAAGTTTCATATTTTTTTTTTTTAATTAAAGAATAGCCGATAAAATGTCTGTTCTTTGTCTTATTTTGAATTTCACAACAGAAAATGAATGCTTAGTTTTTAAAATTATTTATCACTTTTTTTTATACTTCCGCTATTATTTTATTATAATCAAAGAAAAATATTTTTTATTGAACTTACAATTTTTTTTTTTTTTTTTTAAATACTAAAATCTTCTATAAATTTCTAGTATTTATTTTTAGTGATAGGATTATAATGGAAAACAAATATTATATTATTTGATAAAATAAAAATCAAAAAAACTTATTTTTGTACAATTTTTATAAAATATTAATGGTAAACTAATAAATGATGATTAACTTTAAATAAACACAATAAATGATAAAAATAAGGAAAAAATATTTTAAATTACTTGATAAATATTGATTTTTAATTAATAACAATTATTTGAATAGTAGATTTTAGGATAGTAATACCTATGTTTTACTAAACAGTATGAAGTTATGAAATATGTAGCGTACATAATATTTTATTATACCTAATTAATTATACAAGAAATCGAAAACTGTACAATAATAGATTTATATTATTTACTATTTACACAATTTATACTGTAAGTAAAGTGCGAAGATATATTGTGTGTAAAATTTGTATCTAATTAAGATCTTTTTCCTGTAGTATTTACAATTAGTTATTGCATTAATTCTACATATTCATTACAGTAGGCTGTTATATGACAAGGTACACTTAAAATTTTTTAATGCTAGTATAATTAATAATATAACAAAACATGTTCTAGATTTTTTTGTTGTAATTTTTCCTTGTGATTAAAGGAATAAATTATTTAGACAGTTATCTTTTAAGTACGTACCAACTATTCGATATTTTTGTAATAAAAAATTGCTACATAAACATTTTTAAATAGTCCTACCATAAATTAATGGTCACATAAAAATAAAACTACGTGATTTTAAAACCAATACTTGGAACTTAAAAGTTATGAAATATGATGCTTTGATCATATTTTATATACCTACCTACTGTAATACGTAGAAAATGTTTTTATATTGAGCTGACGAAAATATATTATCCTATTTTTATTATATTATGAAAATGGAAATTTTACTTAATACAATTGAATATTAATTGTACGGTTTCATTATTTCATGTTAATAAAACATATTCAATTAATGTCGTTAGCGATTTACATAATATGCAACGTAGAAAAGTTTCCGTGGTGGCGAAACATGATAATTGCTTACAACGCACTTTTGTAGGTTATTTATTTAATTCATTTGTTCATATATTTTCAGCAAAAGATTAATTATTTAGATAAACTTGGCTATTCGGCTTTAATCATAACCATGTGGCTATTTGATGTTTACATAGTTTAAGGGATATTTAAGTTTATTATAGAAATTGAACTATATCAGCTAATTTATTTAAAATTCTAATTTTTTAAAAGTAATATTTAGTATTCACATTTTTGATTTGTTTTATGAAATATAACAGAACAATAAATTATAATAATACTGGTAATTTGTATTTATAATTTGTATACATACCAATATACCTATAGTAAATATTACATATAACCAATAAACATTTTAAAGAAAGAATATTAATTAAATTAGGTAACTATTTTTTTCATTTTATAGGTACCTCAAAGTAATATAAGTTTTGTATAGATGGACGATAGGATTTAAAAGGAAGTTGAATAGCCAAGAAAATAAATACTGAATGGGACAACATTTTCACGAATACAGAAAATACGAGGTAGAAAATAATGTATTAGAGATTACAAAAATATACTCTTTTAATGAAGACATAGTTATGAAGAATAAAAAGAAACACTGAACAGATTACAAGGTAGATCGTAGCACTAAACAGACGAAGACGAGAATTAAAAATAATAATAATAATAGCATGTTTTGATTCACGACTTAAGTACAGTAAATTTATTTTAGATAAATAGAAAGTAAATTATGAATTCTTTTATTTTATGTTTTAAAATTTTAAAATTCAGTTAATTTTTGAATGGATCATCTTGGATAATTATTTATTTATTTATTTTTGAAAAAATTTTGATAATTTCCTAGTTTTCACATTATATCACAACTTTTACCTGTATACTATGATATTACCATCTTATTAATATTTCTTTGCTCCTCACAATGGCGTATCAACTTAAGGTTAAATGAGCTTACGGTAAAAAAAATATAGTTTAACTTGTAATGTGATTCACGCTCACGTATATTGTTGAACAGTACGGATGATAACGTATTTAAATTTAAATAAATAATAGAATATCGAAATAGGGTTAACAACAAATTGTGCACCGGTGCACATTTGCGATATCGTGTGAATGGCGCTCTAGAAAACAGTATAGGCTTCGAGTGTTAATCGTTGGAATTATTGGCAGTTTCCTGGTCCAACAATGCCATTATCGATAACATTGTCTTCCCAACAACAGATTCGGTCGATTGGTTATTTATTATACTTTAATATTATGTTCGAAAACTGTCGTTGTTGTTTAGGATTACGCTATAGCGCGTATTATAATTTATTATATAATGTTAAATACTTTGTGTACACAATACAGTTGTTATTTGCATTACTTTATTATATTATTATATTTTTGCTGTATAGTAGGAAAAAAACCAAAACGAGTTTTATCCAATTGTATAATTATATATTTAAATTTTATATTATTGTATAATATTTGGTAGCCAAGTGTTCGTGATGATTATAACAATTTATTCCTATTCCCCTAAATATATCACATAAAAAACTGATGGAAAATAGATATTCTCTAGGCATTAATTTCAGATTTTCAGAATAAAAATACAGGGCAGATTTTAATAATATTTTATGCATTCATATTAAACCTTCCGTCCATTAAACTGTTTTTTTTTTCAATTTGTATTCATTTATATTATATTATAACCACTGAACGGAGAATAAAAAGAGTTAGAGGAACTCTTTGAGAAACCATTTAATCCAGAATAGAAAATTACAGTGAGCTAATTACGTTTGGCATAGTCAGAACCAACTTAACACATAGCAATGCATGTGAATCTAGGAGGGCAAAAGTCGTATGGACGACTCTGAGATGGTAAGACGTGGTAAGGAGATTTTAAAATCTTTAAATGAAGGTTCTGACTGCAAACTGAAATCAGCTGACAAGAAGAATTGGAGAATTAGTTGTATGACGGATGGTTTTAGAAGCCACTAAAACTTGAGAAGATATTATATTATTGTAGTACTTAAATGAAAAATACTATTTTTCTATCATTACATTTTTTTTTTAAATTATTAACTTATTGCTGAGACTAGGTTTATTTATGCTAACCATAAACTTAATAAATTTTCTGAACATAGGAAAAAACTTGTGTTGATTAACGATGTGAATAAATACAATAAAATCAAGAGTTATAATATTTATACATGTACGAGTATATCAACAAAATTTAATTTCATAACAACAAATACATTTTGGTTGTATAAATAAGACACGAGTCATAAATTGGTCACTCTTGAAATATATTATAGATGTATACATTATTATGATTTTTGGTCCATATTGAACTATTGAACTGAAATGTTTAAATAAATAATGTTAACAGAAATAAATAGGTTCATTATTGAGTTTTAAAAATTGACAAATCATATTTTTTCTCAAGTATAAGTAAATCGAATTACATAAATTGTAGATTATCTTATTTCTAATAATTATTTAAATTGTATAATAAACTTAAGGAATCAGGGAAAACGTTTTTATCATACTAACTGAGTTAGGTATTTGATTAAACAAAAAAATAAAAAACAGAATGATTTTTATGATAATACAGGACAATCGATTAATTTTATATTTACATTAAATCGTTATCATTTGAGGGAATTCCGATAGTAATATATATATATTTTTTATACTATAACACGATCGTTTTCTGCCGTGATTTTTGTTGTTTCAAATCATTGCAGCAGTAACCAAAAACTGTATATTGCAATAGGATAAAAAAAGGCTTTACCAAATAACGTGAACCTATACATAAATACAGAATATATACATATTATATTATTTTATACGGTGAACGCGATGGGAAGAGGGAAGTTTGGATGAGCGGAAAAGGAGCCGGAACATTTCACGTACAATACTCGAATGTATATTATGGTCCGCGGTGTGTAGACCCGTGGATGATAAATCACGTATGGCCGAGGTAGGTGATTTCTCTCCCCTACGATGCGCGTCGGCAGTGTGGAAAGCTCATCAATCGGCAAAGGCTGTGAATATAATATATATACATTTACCTGCCTACCCTTTTCATCCACTACCCCTCTCAACGTTGTCAGTTCGCTTTTGTTTTGTGCACGTTTACACATACGCAAGC